GTTTCTATAACTTTTTGCATTTGTTTTCATTCTAAATCTATTTGTTTTTAAAACAAAATAATTTGTTGGAAAAGCTATGGTAATGAGTAACTACAACATTGTTGCTTTGTTGTTATAACATTTGGTAGTTCTTTTAATCACCAAAAATAATTTTTGTTAAAAGAACTTAAACAATATTAACCTATGCCTACACAATATTGTTAAAGCAACTCTTTCAGTATGTAATACTAATTAATAAAAAGAGTTGCATTAAGAATATTGTGTATACACCTATAGGTATAGGTTAATATTGTTTGATTTTTTTTAACAAAAATTATTTTGGTACCTTTAAAAGTATTTTCTAATGAAGAAAATCCCCACTCGGTTAATATTTGGTTTACTCCTTCATCCATAACACCCAATGCACAAAAATTAATTAACGCGAACCTGCTTCCTCTAGCATTTGCACAAAAATTTTTTGACAGTGACAAATTATTTTTTTATTATTCAATTACTATGACACCAAGACTTAACTTTAACCATGGCACCAGTGTTACCAGATTCTGTCAAAAAAGGACCGTACGTTTCGTTCGAATTTACCTTAATTACAAAATGACACAATGAAACAATGCAAATAAATGCAATTATGTCAAGTTGACGTTATTTAATATTGTCCATTGAGTCATTTTTGTAATTATGGTAAATTCGAACGAAACGTACGGTCTTTTTTTGACAGAATCTGGTAACACTGCATGGCACCAAGTCGGTCAACTTTATAAAATAAATTTCAATGTCACGTCATGCCAATTTTGGGCGAAAATTGACAACAAAAATATATTTGTTATGTTTACTTAAGGATACCTATTAGCGGCGACGCATATTGTCAGTAGGGTAAACTAATTCTTTCCAACAAATTCATTTTTGTTGCAAATACTAATGTATTAAACACTTTACTTGGGTTAACAAATTTTTTATTAGGACCAACAAGAACAATTGCAACAAAAAATTTATTGGTTGATAAAACAGATTTGTTTTTTCAGTGTACTTAGATATTAAAACGAAATACGACAAAAAATATAATACAATTTTTGTAGTTCTGTTTGGCCGATTATTAAATATTATATTAAAAAACGTAGGTACCAGTGTAGTTTTAAGGCGGTTTTTAAAATAATTGTACACTATTTATTATTTGCCTGCAATTTTACTTTTTATTTCGTTGGAAAATGGTTCGTGCTCGCCCGTTGGAAGAAAAAAACAAAAGAAATTTTTATTTATGCTAAAGTTGTACGTAATTTGCACCAAGCACAGAGGGTATTTAACGAAAGGTACCCAGACAACCCTATGTGCTGAAAATATCTACGAGAGTTAGTGACTGAATTTCAAACAACTGAAAGTGTGAGTAGGCAGAAAGGATCGGGTAGAAAATCAATCTCAGAAGACAAATAAATAGAAATAGTCGGTTCCGTCGTCAATAATCCACAACAATCGACGGCGGCAGTTGCAGGGGATTGTGATATAGCAAAATAAACTATTAGAAAATATTAAAAACAACAAATTTCATCCATATATTATAAATATAATATCACCTTACTAAAGAACTATAGTTACTGTAGATCCTGACCGATATCTCAATTATTAGAAATGGGACCCACACCAAATTTGTGAGACTCATAATATGAGTTTAAAATGACATTAAATAACTTTCGGCCATACCGGCCCCGTGGCGCCCCCAATAAATATAATATAAATTTAATTGGTGCAATTTATTATTTACCATAGTTTATCGACAAATTTCAAATTTTATTTAAAAATCCAAATCATAAAGATTTTATATCAATTTAAATTTTTATTATTTCTTTGAAAATGAAGATACCTACTACATTAATGTCTTAAAATAAAGAAATTATTATAAATAAACTATTATAATTGCTTATATAAAATGCATGTTTCATTAGTGTTTGCCTAAAATATTTTGTTAAAACTTAATTTAGGTATGCATCTTCAAAATATCTAAATAATAAAGTTAAGTGTTGTTTCTTTAAATGTATTTTTTTAATTTATGATTTAATTTTATAGAAATTCCAAAAGCATTTACTAAGATTACATTTTGGTTTATATTACCTACCTTTATACGTTTCTGAAATGTGTCATAAAAAAGTTAAATAAAACTAATACTTCACTGTTTGATAATACTTTTTATTTTGTGGTTAACCCTAAATATAACATTAATAAATTGTAATAATATAATTATTTTTATCTACTCTATCAATAATATTATGCAATATATTATTTTTTGTGAATATAATGATAAACATTATAAATTCCCTGCTTAACAACGGGAATAATGAACAAAATATTCACGTTGTAAGGCAGCAGTTATTGGCCCATTTCAATATTCACTGTGATTTGAACCAATCGGGTTTAAAATGGGAAGAAGGCGACTATAATAATATTTAAAATTGGTAAATGGTGAGGTTGACCAGATGTTAGATTTTATTTATTTATTTTTAAAAATCATTTAATTATCTACTTATTGGAGTAGATAAAGCATAGTATTACACTCGAGATTATACGAAAACTTGTACCCCCCAAACGTTTTAACGGTGAATGTGAAATTGTTATTTGAATTTTCAAATTAGGTAAATTAAGAAAAACAAAAACATTGTTTACTGATATGGCGTCAAAAAGTTTTAAATTATTTTTTATGCCGTTTTTTTGTTTAAAAAGTTGTTATTAGTTTTCCTTTGTTTCTGAACCCTAAACGTATTCTCAAAATGGAATACTCCATTCAAGAAATAACTAATTTCTGTTCAACCTATTATCGAAATAATGATTATACAAACGCCACGGCACGAATTTTCAATAATAATATTCCCAAAAAAAACGTAATTTACCAATACATTCAACAATTAGTACCTAAGTTTCAAAATATGTGTTCGATTAACAACAAAAAAGGAGGCAAACCGTCCAAATGAAGCTGTAGAAGTTGCTGTGTTGGGTCATGTGCAAATGAATAATACACAGTCAGGAAACTATCACAAGCCTCTGGCGTATCCGCTACCAGTGTGTATCGCATCTTGAAAAATAGTAAATAGACATAATTGGCGATATTGGAGTGATACCAATCCACATTTGGTCCATGAAACCCACACCCAAGTTCCCCAAAAGTTAAATGGTAGTTTTTAAGAACCACCTTGTTGAACCATTTTTATTGATGATAACCTCAATGAAGACATTTATGTAGAAATGTTGCAAGATCTCATTGATCCAATGATTAACAAAATTCTAGAATTTTCTAGATCATAACTTATTAGAAGATCAAATTACATATCAACAGGACGGTGCTCCTTCGCATTATGCTCTTTGGGTACGCACATTGGATTGAAAAAAGGGCTCCCATAGAGTGGCCGCCTAGATCTCCTGATCTAACACCGTTAGATTTTTTATGCGGACATTTGAAATCGACAGTTTATGCCACTCCGCCAGATAATCTCCAGGAACTGAGGCAAAGAATTATTAGAGAATGCCAGAAATATTTTAAAATGTTATTGACAGATTTTTTAAACAGAATCTTATTAAGAAATAAAATACCTTTAAAACGATATGTCAGTCAACCCCCCTTGCTATTAAGATTTTATGGGCGGGCGCGGTGGAGCGCGTAGGAGTGCGGGTGGGGGCGTGAAGCGAATTCGTCCCCCTAGAAATAAAAAATGAGGTGTCCAAGGAATTTTGCCTACATTCACCTGTTAAAATGTTTGGGGGGTTTTTGTTGGAACACCCTGTATAATAATAGACATTATAAATAAGTGGTTGGCAGATTTCAATATTCACTTTGATTTGAACTAATCGGATTTTAAATTGGGAGAAGGCGATTATAAAAATATTTAAAATTGGTAAAAAGTGAGGTTAAAATTCTGACAAATGTCAGATTTTATTTATTTATTTTTTAAAATCATTTAATTATCTACTTATTAATGCAGATAAAGTATAGTATTACACTCAAGATTATGCGCATTATTCACTCGGATGATTTGTTTATCTCTTCTGGCGACTCAAGACGCAAACCTTATCGTCGTGAATAATAGCATTATCTCTCGTATACGCTAAAGAAGTATCGGGTTTTCGCAACCCGCACGCCATCTGGTGGACTTGCATTGCGTGAATTTAAGTATTGTCAACAATAAATTTAAAGCACCGATTATACATCAATTTTAAATAAATAGGTAGTTTTTTTTACAAAAGAGAGGAAGGCAGAAGTCTTTCTTGACAAATTTTGTTCAATTGCACAGCTAAATCGCGCACTTTATTTGTGTTTTACGTTGCAAGGAAAAAATTAAAACTCAACCCTTAAATGCTTATATAGTTACGTTAGTGTGTGTATTTTATCAAAGGGATCATGGTGAATTTTTGTGTTTTTAATTGTAAATAAAATTCAAGAACTAAATCTTTGCATTTTCATGTTTTGCCAAAGGATCCAATTCGGTTAGTACATTTGTTGGTGCAGAATTAACTACTGATAACTTTACCTAATATAATTTATATTTAAGTTTGGACATTTTTAAGAAATTAGTAAAAAATAAGTTTTGCATAACATAACCTTAAAATCAATCATTTTTATATTTGAGTTTTCTAAAAAACGTCGACAACTGCATTTTAAACAACAAAATATACCTACGAATTCATGGCAACATAATATTATATATAATACATAATATAATGGTATTATACCGTTAAGTGGAGACTTTAAAGAATTCTTAATCAAAGCTTTTAATAATGCTAAATGCTGTTTAAATTTAGACGACTTATTTTTTGACGATTTTTACTGAAATTAAATGTTTACACTTTTCACGTTAATTACTACTAAAATGTGTATTTATTGTATTTAATAGGTACAATTTATATTTACAGAGACTGTATGCAATTTATTTCTTCATTCAGATTAACACTGTTTATTGGAAAACCGTTAAAAACTCAACCCAGGATTTCCTCTCGAAATATACCCAACAACAAAACAAATCGATCCACGGTTTTCTTTTCGATATTTTTTAACATTATAGGCTTTATTCTCAAAAACACTCGGTTGTAACCTAAGCGTTTGACAGCTGATTATTAAAAGTTCTATTTTTGTTACGATGATAACAGCCGAGTGGTGGCGCTACTAGCGATACTTCTTTAGCGTATAATAATATACTAATATTTACATTTAATGTGTCCTTCAAAGTCGTCATCACAAAACCCTTTAATACACAGTTTAAATAAAAATAAATATTAAAATCCCCATATAACCTAATTAATTAATCTTTTATTTGTTTATACCCCTTAAAACACTTTTAACTCTTATATTAGGCAATCCCGAAACAACTTGACTAAACTCTGAATATTCACAACATTTAATTAATCCCTTTGTAACTTTATTCCAGTTACTATCAGCCCATCCATAAGTGTCACAAATATTATTGCAAATGTTCAGATTGTTACCCGAATTCTGAGCAAATGGATTGTTTACCACCACAAGCACAATGCACTGCTTGTTGAGTTCATGGCACACAATTTTCCATACGAATTTTGGCACTGGGATTTTGCTCTTGCTTTTGGCTAGCAGTATATCCACTAACTCTCCTTTAGCATTTGGTAACTGCAGCACATCGTGCGTACCAGTTATAACTTTAAGCGTGCTGTTATAATGAGAAGCCGTTTTTCGTATCAGATTCTCAATCCTCTTCCAGTTTCCGTTATTAATGCTGTTCCACTGTGGGCAAGTGTTAATGTAAAAATAGGTAGCGTATTGCCATGGTGACAAAAGAAAATCGGCGTCCGGAGATAAATGTCCGCGTGCCAAATAGGATTTGTTGTTTATGTACTGTTCGGCTAATCGTGCGGACCCAAGTAATTGATTGAACGTCGATTTCTGGAATTCCTGTTTATATACAACTTCGGCGGGCGTGTCAGCGCCCAACCCGGCAGTGCTAAAGGAAGGCCTTAAATTTGTCTTGGAGGCATCTAAAACACAATTAAGTTTAAATTATAGTATTCGATTTGGTTTAGTTTTACCTACTTTCTATTTCTTCACCAATAACGTGGTGTTCCGTATATAAAGTTCTACCTGAATCTGAATCGTAACAAACTTCAATCAAATAAACCCACTTTTTACGAGTTATTTTATACCCAATTGATATTTTTTTGCCGTTTCCACCACATTGTTTGTTATGTTCCTGAATTTCTGCCTTGGGGATCTTAGAACACTGCATCTCTTCTGAAGAAACTGTTTTTCTTGCTAATATAAAATTGTTAGAACTACACGTAACGACTGTTTGATTTGAGTTGGCTAAAATGTTTCATTTAAAAACCTAATTTTGCATACATTTAAATTAACTTACAAATTGGAAGTATGTTTTTTGGACCTGGACATACTAAAATAAATTGTTGGTCATTTTTTAAATATAATTTACCATTCACAGGAACAATAAAATCAATGTTTGTATTGTTTTTTAAAAATAATGGTGATTTTTCCTCCATTTGAAGATTAAAACTTATTGAACATCCTATAATCATTTATTTAGTCGATCATAATTTAAGATAAAAAATAACTTACCCTCATATTTTTTATGTCGACTATGTGATAAACTCAGTAATGTAAAAAATACACAGCATATTGAGAAAATGTTCATTTTGTTGCTTCTTAAACAAATCTAGGAATAAAAATGTCCAGTTTAGTTTTAATGTTACCTAGATTATACTTTCTAATATAAACAGTTTAAGTTTAATTTAATGTGTTTATTTAAAAATATATAACTGATCAACAGCAAAATTGCATTTTAATTTAAAAAGAAAATATATAATATAAAATAAGTAAAAAAAAGATTTTTAACTTGCAAGTTTAATATTAATTGTTTAAAATTACTTTTTAAACAAAACATTAAAATGTAAATATTAATATTTAGAAAAATTAATTTTCAAGAAGCATTTACTAAAATAAATATCCAATTTTGTGGTTCAGTGTATAAAATTGCTTTAGGTACAAGATATGTTAACATGTAATAAACTTAGATTGCATTTACGAACGTTAAACTAGCAAAATATTTAAATTTGTAATTGCAAGATGTTTTAAATCGTGTTTTAACTACAAGTAGATTTTTAGCTGCATTCAATTAAAACTGCTTCTAAATTAGTATTTTGGTACCCTAGAACAACAGGGTTTTATATGATAAATTGTGGTATAAAGGTTTAAAATTTAAATTTTGCAGCATAATAAAATGTATAAAAAATTGTACCTTGTCTTGAATTTTAGGCTGCAAGCAGAGCTGGCCAAGTACTGAGTACTTTTACTCGTATTTTAATTACGAGTAAAAAAGTACGAGTACTTTTTTACTCATAAGTATATTTCATTTGAAATACTTATTACTCGTACTTACAAACCAAATTCAATGTACTCGTAAAAAATACTCGTGGAATTCACGAGTAATATATACGAGTATTTTCGTTAAATATATGGATGACTTTTTTCCAAAATATCGTAATCATCAAAACATTTTGTTTGAAAGTCTGTTTTAAATTATATAATATATAGTATAATAGAATATATTATTATAGCCTATAGGTTTTAAGTAAATAGGTAAAATTATAAACTATTTAAGAATTGTTATTATTTTATGTACATAATGTTTAAAATAAATAATTTTATAAATTTGTATTTGTATAGCTCAGGACCAAAGTATGTATAAGGTACACTCCTTAAAGATTAATTCGTCAAAAATGACTAATTACCACAGTTCTGCCGTGCTTAATGAAAACGCCGTAACCAACAATTTTGCGATTTATGTTTTACGGCATTTTCTACTAGAACAATTCATCCTGCGTCTATCCCCGGTACTCAAAAAACCGTATATATATAGATACGGTTTTTTGAGTACCGGGGATAGACGCAGGATGAATTGTTCTAGTAGAAAATGCCGTAAAACAAAAATCGCAAAATTGTTGGTTACGGCGTTTTCATTAAGCACGGCAGAGTTATTAGTGGAAATTAGTAAAAATACCGTAAAAAATTATTAAGTGGAGCAGTTTTTAAGATATAGTAAATTCCATATTATATGGAAAATGGACTATATCTCAAAAACTGTTCTACTTTTCTAACTTGACGACATTTTCGGATTCAGGGAAACATTTTACATGGAAATTGACTGCTAAATGTTAAAAATACAAATTGCTATTGACAAGAATTATTAGTGGCTGCTTTTTCGCTATGACAATTAGTCATTTTTGACTACCCCTTTTTAGAGAGTAAAGAATAATCAATTATATTAACTAACTTTTTTTTCTTCAAAAGTACTCGTACTCTTTACTCGTGTTTTCACGATTACTACTCGTATCCGTAACCTCTCTTTACAAATGTACTTACGAGTAAAGTTCTTACGAGTAAATATTTTAAGTACTCGTACTCGTAATTTTACGAATACTTTTTTTGTACTCGTGCCCAGATCTGGCTGCAAGTAGGTATGTATTCCAACGTTTGGATTTCAACCTTTACAAAATGTACAATTAGTCAGATAGAATATTGTTGTTCCCGGTTACCGATTTGTTGTAAATGATTTGTCTGTTTATTTTTCTTATTTATTTTGTAGAATTGAAAAACATATTTCTTGTGATGATCCAAAAATCTGTGAAGCTTATTTAATGGAGTTTGGACATTGAATTTTTTATTGCATATCTCGAATATAAGTATACGTATTAATAATGTTTTTTAAACGTTCCTCAAACAATTTTTGAGAACGCTACAGCGTTTAATAAACGCAAAATTCAAAACGCCTCGATGATCTTAAAGAGAACGCGTGACGTTACGATGTTATAACAGACGAATGAATACAATATCTGCTTCTAGCACGGTTTTCTAGGTAAAGTTTTGTACTTTACTAGAGGTGCGAACTTAAAAAAAAGTTTTCCACTCCCACCGATAAAACACATTATCGTTCATGTTTTCATGACACTAAGTAATTTTTTAAAAACACACTTTTAGTCACGGGATGAAGTTAGCGGTAAAAATAACGTGTTATTTTTTCTAGGATATTTTCTTATAGATGTCGGTTTATACAAATATTTAATTTAAATCATTTTTTAAATAATATTAGGTATTTGTCGTAGAAAAAGTATAGTATGCAACTCTTTTATAAATTTTTCTAGGCACTCATTTAATTAAGCATTCGCTCGCAAGCTCGCTCGTGTCTAAATTAAATTCTTGACTAAAATAGAGTTTATCAAACTTGATACATAATATACTATTATTAACTAAATTACGATTTTAGGTTTGTTTAATTTATAAAAAAACAACTTTTAGGTAGTAAAATACAATAATAAATTTTATATTTTTTATAGCGGAGACAAATTCAAAATCCACATTCATTATGATAGAAATTTTTAAAAATACTTTCTTGAAAAAGCACAAATTTGGTAGAATTTGTGAAAATTCATAAAATTTTGAACTAAAACATAGGTTTTAACAGGCAAAAACTTGAGACCGGACAATATTGCTCAAGAATGTTTTTGATAGTATAATTTAAAAATTTGGTTCATGTATGTTCAAAAGAAAAGAATGAAATTAACAAATAGGTAATTAATTTTTTCCACTTCCACCTTTTAAACGCCGATTATAGTACATGTTTCCATGACACTAAGTGATCTTTTAAATACACATTGACAAGCTGTGGCTTTATAGCGTTTTAGTCACGGGCTGAAGTTAGCAACAGGTTTTTAGTCATGGGCTGAAGTTAGCAACAGGTTTTAAGTCAAGGTCTGAAGTTAGCGTTAAGTTAGTTGACAGTTGTCAAATTTTATATAATCGTTAAAATAAAGTGCCCTTCTTTGTTAAATAATACTAAATGTGAAAAAATTTAATTTTCTCAATACAAAAATACAAAAGTATTAAATAGTTTCTTGACGCCAATATTTAAAAAGGTTATATCGGTTGTACTGACCTTTTTATTTCGCCGTAGTAGTGAAGTAAACTAGATTTAACTAAGAAATAATTAAAAATTTTGTGTGCATTGCCCATAAAGAATTTTCTTTACTTTTACTGTGAAAAACTGCTTCTATATCGTATTTTCAAGGGATAAATTTTGATTTACACAGACATTTTAAGGCCAATAGATTTCTAAATTAGAAATTCTAACGGGAATTCCAATAAATTCACTTTTTGTACCTTTAACATTTGTAATAATATTTTGCAATTAAAGTAATAAAAAAATCAAATCAAATTTACAGTATCAATAATTGTTACGTTTAATTAAAATAATAACGAGCAATGTTAATGCTGAAAATTACATCAAAAATATTTATTGGAAGGTTTTTTTATAGATGTCGCTTTATACAAATATTTAATTAAAATAATTTTTTAGATAATATTAAATATTTGTCGTAGAAAAAGGATAATATGAAAGTCGTTTAAAAACTTTTCTAAGCACATGCCTAAATTAAATTCGTGACTAAAATGGCGTTTATTAAACTTGATACTTAATATTCTATTTTATTAATAGTCTTATTATTATTTAAATTATCTTAATCAAAATTGAATTAATTCGTAATAGTATGTTATTTAAAATTTGGTCATACACTTTTGGTCTGCCTCGGCATGCTGGTCTAAAATGATTTATAAAATGTAAACAAGCCATTCTATATATAAAATATTATTTTAATCTCAAGAGTTAGCGTCGCATTGAGAAAATTCTGTAATAGATCAGTTTTCGGGAAGGCTTAAGCAAATAGATATTCGGTCGAAGTACATTTATTTGTTATATTACGTGTGCAATATGGTTTTCTCGGGCTTGGCGGCGCAACCTCCTCCTATCCGTATCACTCTATACGGTCGGAACTAATTTGAAGTTGGCGGAAGGATACATTTGTCATAGAGTCCCTGGTGAGCCATGATCGGGTCGGATGAAGTTATGAGAGTCAGAGTGCACTAGATCACATCGTGGAGCGCGCGGGCGACAGAGACGTCCGAGTCACGCACCCCCGGATAAACGTGAGCTAAAAGAGTACGGGGACAAAGAGTGTTCGAAAGGGGTCCGGCGCAACTGTCTCCAGAGACTTGACCCAACAAAAATCATCTCCGAAGCCATTCCCCTGCAAAAATCATCTCGTTCGTTCGTGAAGTGAGATGCGTCCACTTCTTCGCATCGCATCGGAATCCAGCCAGGCAGCCAGCCCGCCAACCCATGGCAGATAAGGACGGACAACTTGTTAGAAATAAGGAAAACCAGCCAGACGAGTGAAGTCATGTAGAGAATTGCTATATGAGAAAGAAAATCACGAAATGGACTTGGCGAGTCGAGAAGCGATGATAAAATAATCTCACTTTGATGAAACCTACACCTTTATGTTTAAATGCAATTATTTATTTTTATAAAATTTATGAAATAGTTGAATCAAATAAATAAAAAAGTAAGTAGTATATAGAACTATTTAATAAATTTTATGAAAACAAATAATAAGTTTTTGGTATGATAACAAAAAAATTAAAAAAAATATTAATTTAAAAACATTTGGGGATTTGACGAATTTAACCTTTTTCGAAATTTATAATAAAGCTATTTTCAGCTCGTGACTAAAATGCCCAAAAGCCATTTTAGTCACGAAAAGTTTATAAACGAGTTGCATACTATACTATTTCTACGACAAATACTAATATTA